AACAGTTGTACGTTTTGGTCACTGGAGATAATCTCTGTGTTAGAACATCAGAGATGCACATGGCAGAACCAGATGCATATTGTAGAACTGTGAGGGATCGCTTCGGTGCTCCTGCTTGTGACACTTAACCACACCCCATCCTTTGTCTTAGCAAGGATGCCGAGTCCCAGTATTTAAACCCATGAAAAAGTACGGCAAACTTTTAATGATAAATGTACTTAGGCAAACAGAAACAATTTCTATTTTCCCTAAAATAATGGCTTTGGAATTTAGACAACAGACATGGTGCTTTAGGGAAGGGGAAAAAGGCTGCGCTAGCTTAGAAATAATTCTGTCTTTTAGACATACCTATGGGAGAGGAGAAAAAAAAAAAACAAACAAAAAACCAACTCAAAATGGTATTCTTTCCAACTTGCTGAGCTCAATCTTTCTTCCAGTTACAGGTCAGCGTTTTGTGGCCCCACTGAAGAGTCTGTGCCTTTCAAGAAACTCCAGAAAATAAATTCTGCTCCCCATCCTGCTAAGGTACATAGAGTGGTTTGCCAATGGATGACTCCATCCAAATTTAGAGTAATTTTTGGGTCTCAAAAGCACTTGCTTCTGCTTTCCAGCCTTGCACCATAATGGCTGCTCTCTATTCTGAAGTAAATTTTACAGAGGAAGAGCTAGTGATTATGTCTATGTTTTTCTATTATTCCTTATGTGAAACCAATCCTGTGGCCTACATCTCCTACTATGCACAATAGCAGGTCTCCAGTGGAATACTGCTCTACAGTAGGCTGGGTCCTCATGCATACTGAGTACTGCTGATGAAGTGCAACAGAGTAGAGAAGATAATAGCAATTTCTATTAGAAGATAGCAGGACTGCCAACTATCACCACTCAATATGCACTAACATCTTGGGCAAGTTGTGTGTCTTTGTTTTCAAAGCTGAACTGTCAGCAGCCACAACTGACAGACTTTGGTTGCTGCCACTTGCTGCCTTTCAGTTGGGACCAATGCCTACAGCCAAACAGCTTGGATTAAAAATTACCAGTGGAAATTATGAAGCTCCATTCCTGCAAGAAAGTCTTGATTTCATCTGATGGAATGCAGCTGTTGGCTACCAAGTGAAACATGTACAGTACATGCTCTGTCTGAACATAACAACATGATGGTAATGTGGTTGAAAAAACCCATACCCAGTTATAGTACTAGCAAATCTTTTATAATAGAGCATGTTATAATTATGTTTTATAAGCTAGGTGCTTAACCATTTACGTGTTCTTAGGGAAAGATCTAATATTTTAAGCTGTTATGTTTGTTAAGTTATAGAGGTTGACAATATATTATCAAGCTGATAATATGTACTTGCTGGCTGTATTTCTTCCAAAATGAAGCAGTAATTACATATTGATAGTGGAGAAAGAGGGGCTGGGTTCCTGCAGCTGAGCACCCAGAAAAGGCAGGAATGAGTCAGAAGTGTTTATTAGGAAGAAGCCAACAGAGAGTGTTTTGAAGTCCAGATTGTTAGCTAAAAAGAGACTTTGATTTGTGATTAAAGAAACTGACTGCTCTTACATCTGTTCCTGAGAAAATGCAAAATGAAAAGGGATATATTCTAATTAGGATAACAGCTAAACTTGCCTATTACCTACTTCTAACGGTGAAGAACTCCCCTAATGACTATTTGAGCCAATAGTAATATGTGCCCATGGAGGAACTTGAACTGTACAAGGACTTCCACTTTATATTGGCAGACAGCTGGATGCAGTTCTGGCATCTCATTTGTGCTCACTAGACTATATTGACAGTAAACTAACAAAAAGCTGTGTGTTAGCAAATTTTTTATTGGTACTTTTGCCAAGATGTACTTGTTTGTGCACTCTCTTTGTGCCCGGATTTTCAATAATGATGGCCTCAAAGTGTATCCTCTTCTCCCTTCCATTGTAACTAGTAAGCTTATTTTTCTTTAAATTGGCATTTCTAGAAATCCTGTTATCAATTAAAACAGCTTCTCTTTTCTAGAATAATAGCATAGTTGTGTTTGTAACCCTAAAGTTCAGACTGTAAAAAGCTGTTGTAATGTGGAGCTAGGTTTCAAACCAGGCACCTAAATGCAGCCAGTTAATAACTGTCATCATTATCTTTTTGCATCTAAACCTTCCCTTCTCTTAGGTTTGCGTTTCTTGTTTTCACTTGCAATCCACAGCCTAGAACTCTCTCTTTGTAGGTCATGGAAAGAATGAAAATTGTTCTGTGTATAAAAGCCTTCTTGACTACACTGCCTGGCCAACAGGTGGAGGAATTTCCCCCTAAGGTTGAAGACTGATGGAAACCTGAAGATGCAGGCTATCTTGGCAAGTGGGTGCTCTGCCCTCTTCTTTTGTTGGTTTTGTTTTGGAAGCTGCACCAGCCTTCAGGGTGGGGAAAAAAAAAGCGGTGTTCAGTAAATCCAAGGGTCAGAAGGTACGTGACAATTTATTAGCTTATTGGTTGTCATCTGTCTGGGATGGAGAATACCAGCTATGTCAGTATTTGATATTAAATAGTGCCTAAAGTAATATATTTAGTATTGGGAACAGGAACTCTGAGTAGGGCCTGTTCCTGGAGGACAATTCATCAATGTTTCCATTGCTTACTGTTCCTCAGGCTGTATGCACCTAATATTCACTGTTGCAAAAACACTCCATCTCAACAGCAGAAACAGAATATTCTCCCTCTATCCTCATTTTTTCACAACAGTATCTGTGCTCTGGCCGCAGACAGCAAATCAAACTTTTCAGGGAAAACTTGTTTGTGAATTGAAGCCACCTCTTATTTGGAGCAATCAAGAGGGTTTGCAGCTCAGTCAAGTATATCCATACTTTTGGCTATGATCAAATATGGGATATTTTCAGACAAGCTTTGCTAGTAAAACAAAGAAAGGTGCGTGACTCCTAATTCCTTAAATATATTAGTTGCTTTTTTTACCTCTCTACTGTTTTTACTGTGTTGAACTTCAGTGTCTATATGCTGGCATCTAATTTGCTCGTCTTCTTCTTTTCCCCTATCCTTGGGAAACTCAGCCCTTAGGAAAATTAAATGCATCTGGAAACATTCAAAAGCCAGAATCCATGCAGAAACATTGAAGGGGAGGACTAAGGCATTTCAAGGTAATGCAGGGTTTGGAAAAAGATCAGTTTTGGATTCAGACACCTAAATTCCATTTCAAGCTCAAGTTAGTCACCTAAGTAAGTCTTGCTTTTTCCTTCTAAAGAAACTTAAGAGGTTTTTTGACAGAGATTTTTATACATACCCGGGTTTTTATTATTGCAATTCTGTGTAAAATTGAGCACATTTAATAATAATGCAAAAACATTTTTAAAAAATTAAAATCCCTTTTCAGACAAAGCATCAGTATGCCACAACCAAGGCCAAAATACCTTAATAGCTACAGTTTCTGGTGCATGAAGAAATTTTGTATTTGTACTTTTGCCAAGATCTACCTTTTTACCCTAAGTGTTGAGGATTACAGGGAACTAGGACTATCTAATCTGGAGTTTTGGAAATATGTGATACATTATATATAGGTTTCTAGGTTTTATTGGAAAGAAAGAAAAAGTTGCTTTTCTTGCATGGTGGAAGAAGTAGTTTATTTTAATTTTAGATTGGTATTAAATTTTAAAACATGACAGAAAACCAGTTTCCAGTACGTTAATACTGGACCTGTTGGGTCCATACATTGTAATGCTCATGATTATGTGTGTACTTGAACTGTTTAGAGAGAGTTGTCTTGGCCAGGTGAGATAAAGCTGAAATGCATCCCCACACTAGATGGTTTGTCCTCTAGATCCACTCTCAAAAGTAACATAAAGAACAGGAATAAAGATTAGAGAGCTGGGACAGCAAGAATTATGAAAGGAGGGCTCTGGGCCTTTACTTTCTCTGTTTAACGTGTCAGAAACAGCATATGTCATTTATTCATCAAAATTAGGTCTGTTTTTCAGTTTTACAAGTACCATCTATGACCAGTGCTCCTTGTAAAGACAACCATTCCTTTTGTTAATACTCATGAGAAAATCAGTGACCACCGGAAATCAGTGGATCAGTGAAATATGGGAAACAATTAGTAGCCTATTGAATAGACACAAAACAAAGAAATAAATGGAGCCTCATATACCCTTTCAGAAAGCTGTAGCTTTCTAACAAAAATATGCATACTGTTCATAATGATTTGCACTAAAATGCTGTTCGTGTAGCCCAGCTGCTGTGTGAGAGATTTCTCTTCCATAAGAAAATGTAGGTGCCTAAATCCAGGACTGAGTCTGTAGCTTGGCTGCTACACACTAGCACTTACTCCCTCATGAAGTGGTGTGGGAAAGTATTAGGTAATTTAGAGCTTTCTGAAAAAGGAGCTGTGGCAAGAAGCAGAGGTGTGAGAAATCGCAAGACAGCAGTGGAAGTTGTTGGCCAAAACCCACCAGAAGAGAGGAGGCTGATCAAAGAGAAGCTTTCAGAAAGCTCTGAGTACAGTACTGCATCCTTGTGCTGAGCAGAACACTTAGGCACTGTACTGCAAGCTCCAGGTAAATTGGAACGACTGGTATTAGAACAAGAGACGAATAATGCAGATATCAAAGTAAGCAATTCTGCTGTGTACTGGCACTATAAAAATATGATGCAAAGAGTTGGAAATGGAAGACCGTTCAAACCAGTGTGTCAGTGCCAGAATGAGCTTTGGAGAGAAAAGAATACAAAGCAGCATATTGAAGGAAAGATTAAAAAGTGGGGCTTTTACTAAGCAGTGAGGCACTATGTGATCAACCTATACACAGGAGCTGAAGCTTCTATCTGCATTTAGATAGGGCAGCCTGAAAAAAGAGGATATGCTGTGTCTAAACCACCTAGAAATGCTACTTACGAGTACGAATTTGACCAAGAAGTAAGAAAACTAGTCTTTTAAAACGTGTTTGCTAGGTGAAACATGGCACTAAAGATCAGTGGTGAATAACTGTTTAATTGATAGCATGGAAGGCTGTTCTGTTTTCTGTTTATTCAAGTGAAATAATTATTTTCAGGCAACAGGGTTGAATTAAGCAACTTGGTTTTGAACATTCTTTGCAGCAGGGTAGTTTCGGAGGGTTGTTTTTTTTTTTGTTGTTGTTTTTGTTTGTTTTTTACTGGGAATCCCAAAGGATTCTAAATATAGGTGGCGGGGATATGAATCAAAAATGCTTTCCTCCCTGCTCATTGTGTTGACAAGCTGCAAACAATTAATTTAAAGGGAAAAAAGGCAATTTAAATCTAGCTGTAAAATGTAAATTAGTCAATCTAGTGAAACCCGTTTCATGAAAGAGAGATGAAAATAAACCTGGAGTTCCTTTAGGAACAGTAATGTGTATCTATATGTGGAAGAACAGAATACTGTTCTGCTGATTAGAAGAAAGTAACTGCAAAAAAAAAAGGTACTGGAGTAGTACTATCTTGTTTACTTTAAAACTTGCAAAGATTACTGCTTTGTAAAAGCCCAACTGGCTTTTACAAAGTGGCTGTGATACCTTGTTGCCTGAGTATGGTTTCCATTAGCCTGGATGGTGCAGCCCCTCAATTCCTTCCTGGGGTCTGGCAGCACGTACTGCTCCCCTTTTCTCTCATTCTCTACAAATTGTGCTTCTGCTCTCCAGACTGCTAGGTTCAACTCCTGTGTCACAAGGGTAGCTGAATAAAGGCTCCATTTGTTCCTTTTTGTATTTGCAAAAGCAAAATGAGGAAAATTATAGTTTTATTTAAAAGGCAAAAATAAATGACCCTTTCCCATGCAAAGCGAAGTAATGATAGCGAGTTGGAATCAACAGCAGGAGCTGGATAGGAATCTTTTCCCTCTTTGGCTAGCCTTCTCACGTGAGAGTGCTTTTCATACAGAAACATTGCTGGATTTCTCAATTTTTTACATTCCTAGAGAATCTGTTTTAGAGAAAAGGGTCCTACTGTCCATGCAGTATAATGCCAGGGCTTGAATGCAGTGTAGCTTATGATTTAGGGTGTTCTAGTGCTGTAAGATATTGACAGGAGAAACCCTACATAGTTAAGTCTCCCAGATATGGGAGAGGATTTCTAGCTTCCTTATCAAATACACCTCAGTAATGGGCTACACAAGAATGGTAATCCCTGTGACTGTTGTGCAGTAGAAGCTAGACTAGCCCACTTACAAAAGTAAAGCATTATTTTAAGGCAGTTGCTCTGACCTGCTTGTGCTTGAGCAATAGTAGTAGGTTAAGATAACTCTGTGCTATTTCAGCCTTATACTAGTTAAGCTTTTTTTCTTTTTTTTTTTTCCTTTTTAATCTCTTCTGTAGAAAAACAGGGGATAACCTGTTGTCTGCGGAAATTACCTGGTTATGAACAGTGGCACATAGCTTTCTGAAACCTGTTGACCATTCAAACTGTAATAACTAGCAGATAGTTCTAACTTGTACTAGGGTTTGGATGGCAGTAGGGCAGGAGAGAGATGTCTAGACACAGTACTTTGATACTTAGTACTTCAGTACTTTCTAAATTTTAACAACTGTACTATGAACTGGCATATAGGCTGTTGCCAGCACTTGTCAGTCTTCAGTGTTGGGATTTTTCCCTCCAGATTTGTTAGCTTAATTTCTGTCTTACCTTTGTCACTATTCTTTGCTTACACCAGACATATGAAGAAGTCTTATGCTGAGTAAACCCTCTAATTTTTTTAAGGCAACAAGACTTGTACCATATGAAGAGGAGGGGTGAAGAAATGAGATCCTCTGCTCAGTTGGTAGCTGTCCTTAGGGTGAGTATTGCCCCATGTAGCTAATGTTCAGGCTTAAAAACTGTCAGCAGGTCACTGTGGGTTGGACTGTTATCTAGGGCTTATCTGTAGAGCAACATTATACAGTTGCTCATTTGATCTTCAGGATCATATTAGCACCACAGATGTGACTATTCTGAATGATAAATGGGCACACAGGAGGTAACAACTGAGAATGGAGAACTTGCTTGGAGAAGAACCTAAGTACTCAAGTATTCTTCACAGTGAAACTTTTTGTCATGTGTTTTTCAGCTTATGCCATTTCTGATCCTTCTTCTACCAACACATTTCTTAACACTGACTTCTCTTTTGAATAACATTGGAAATGACCCACAAGTATTTACAATATGTTTTAAATTAATTATGTCACATTTGAGAGAGCCTGTAATTGTTTATAAAAATGAAATTATTCCTCTCTCTCTTTTCCATTTTAATAGTATGTGATAAAAAAAAAAACAGGAACGTCAAATTTAACCATGCTGCTGTAATTACTACTGACCCAAATTCCTAGAATACTTGTCACATAATGCAAAGGTCTCTGGAAACTCTTTTTCATTTTTAATATGGCTTCTGTCATACTTAAAAGATATGGAGCCGTATCTGATAAGAGTATTGTATGTCAGCTGAAGTAAATTTATCCTAGATCTGAAGTTCTGTTTCCCCTTAGCATAGTCCCACGAAGCTAGGAAAAAAAAAAGGGGCCAAATTAACATGAAACAAAAATTACTTAGGTGACAGAAAAGACTTCTGTAGAGGGTCAGGTCACCATTGCTTAGAGCCATTGGCAGTGTTTTCAAAAATGATGTAAATTAGTCTTTTTCCATGTTTAGAAATCAGTATAACGTAGGTCAGGTGCAGATTTCTTCTTCTGCCTATTTCCTCACTACAAAGAAGGGAAACTGCTTGAATAAAGACAGCCTTCGGCTGGCCAGAGCACCTCATACGATACGATGCATTCCTCCAGGTAAGTGTACCTGACAAGTCAGTTACTTCTGACGGTAACATCTTCTGTAGGCTTTGGGAGATGCAGCTGTGGGGAAAGTCCTGCTACAAGTTTTAAAATTAATTAATTTCTATTTTGCTTAGGAAAAAATCCATGGCACAGAAATGCAGTTTTGGCATCAAAGTGCTATGTGAGCACAAAATAATTCTTCACCTTAGCTACAGCCTTTCTGTGTATTACTGTGTGTTAAATTCTTAGTAAAATAAGTGGCAATTAAACATTAATATTCCAAATGCTAGTTGGCTTACAAATTTAGATCTGACAAATGGATTTGGAAGTGACAAGGCAACATGCACCTAAAGAAGCCTGGTACTGAATTTAGTGGTAGACTTGCATCCTAGGCTTCACTCTGTGTGTGGGGAAGGAAGCTAGGGAGGGAGGAAGAGGAAAAAAAAACAAAACGGATGGAGGTTGGGAGGACCTGTGTAGGTACTTTACTTAATATTTTGACTTACATAGGCAAGATGAAGGGAGATCTCCTGCAGGTTTTCCTTCTGCAAAAGCTTCAACAGCTGGAGCTATTTTACATAGGATTTGATCAACAGTAAACAAAGACAGACTAGAGATGCTGTTAAAGCCTTATCCACAATGGGATAGCCATCAATTTTATGATCTGCCTAAGCTTTCAGAAGACCAGAAGAAGCAGGATTTTTTGATTGGGAAGCTGCATAACCACAATGCTTGGAGACTACAAATATTTCAGTTTCGCAAAGTATAATCCTTAATTTTTATAGAAATCCAGTCCCCAAAATAATTTGAATTGAATACAGCTATCTGGTCCCTTAACTTGGGAATAGGGCTTCCTTGCTTCCCCCTCTAGAGATGCCTGAGCTAACTTGTCAGATCTGTTCACATTCTTACACAAGTAATTAATGAAGAGTTCAAGTTGCACAGAGCTAAGATATCCACTAGGAACAGAACAGGACCCAGGTACTAGTCTCAGGCCACTGCTGTTATGTGGATTTGCCTGAGAAATACACCCCTCTTTCCTGGTGAGTGGCAGAGGGAGCTGAGCAGGGTGATGCTAAACACAGGCAGGAATCGTCTGACACTACAAAGCATCCAAGTATAATTGCAGGCCCTAAATGTATCTACCAATACATCTAAATCCCATTTTGTACATAACTTGATTCCACATCCTGCAGACACAGTAAGTTGCACATCAACATCCCCTCAAATTATTTCTCAGATTTGTTTGCTTCACTGTGATGGAAACGTCAGCATTCTGCTAGTACAATAGGAAAATCAAGTCTCATTTTCTACTTTAAACTCTATAAATCCTCACATCTTTTTCCTTGTCAAAGAAAACTCTTAAATGCATTTCTTACTCCAGCAATATTTTAGGAAACTGCATTCATTCACATATCCTAGGTTATTTTATTAAGCATCCGAGTATTATTGCTTAGAACATTAGCACTAGAAATCAGGATAAAGGCATTTACATTGATTACAATAACATGTTTTATTAATGGAAAGCTCCTGTATGCTGCCAAGAAGCTTAAACCATTTTCGGTATTAAAAAAAAAGGCACTGGAGCTGCAAAATTAAGTAGAAAATTATTTTTAAAAAGAAAAAGCCAACTGACCCAGTGTCACAAGCCTCTAAGGAAAGAACCTGCAGAAATAAGTACCGTAGTCTTTGCATAATAACTACCACACATTAACTAACACTGCATGCAGCATTTCCTTCATCATTTAATTATAGTTATTGGTACACACACACAGAGCTCTGGGCAATGCTACAAAACAAAAACCTGATTTTCCTACTTTTTTTGTAATAAACAAAGCCAACTTTGCAGAACCTGTATATAGTATTTCACACACTGAAATGGTCAAGTTATGGCCTTTGGCTTATGTATCCTTCAAAGAGAATGGGACAAACAAGAGGGGATGAACAACTTGAGTTACATAGTCGCTCATTTGGGAGAATATTTTATCCAATATCAAGTTAACAGGAGGAGCCCAGATTAGTATCCTTAATATCTTAGCTCCCACTTGCATCTTTCTCAGGACTATAGACTTGTGTGTGTTTACTGTTGAATGCTCTGTCCCTACCTGCTGTAACTCGAAGGTATGATTTTCATTATGTTCTTTGCAAGCATGGAGAACAAATTCACAAGGAGACCATCTGTTACTGTGTGGTGCTGCACCTGCTTAGCTGTCTTCTGCTGTACAATACAGAAAATTAAATGTCATCATTGGCATTGCAACTGACACTGAAAAAATGGCAGAAAGAGACTGAAATGAAAGTCTATACCAAACCTTTAATTTACATACGAAACACAAAGTTTTCTTCTGGAAACTGATGGGATATGCTTCCCTCAGCTACAGACCTCAGACCTTGCTCTAAACCAAGAGCTGTTCAAGTAACTGTTGCTCTGCTGACCTGCGGCTTCTTTCATTGTAGTCCTAAGAGTAAAATGTGATTATTTCATATTTCAAGTATTGAATTGTTAAAAGCATCATTTATATGGAATAAGAAAGGAAGCGGTGGTACTATTGGAATTCTGCCATACCATAGCATATCATGCAAGAAATGCATCTCAGGATAGCTAACTTGCAAGGTGCTCTCATCATCAGTGGTTTTTCTCCATCCCAAATAAATATTCTTTTCAGACATTTAAAATAAAAACTAAATTCAAAAAGCCACACAATGAGAAAGGGCTTCTCCTTGTCAAGCTAAGAATCTCCTATATTGTATCAGCATGCCCCATAACAAGTGAAGACAGGTATCACACACACACAAAAATAATTATGGGAAAAGAATGACCTCCCTTAGGCAGTATGTGAACATAGTAAAACTGTCTATATCCTCTCAGAAATCAATAACATTTTTGGCATATGCTACATTTATGTTTGTCTTGGTG